TAGAGAGCACCTTAGGTGTGTAACCATGCCTTGGTTTCAGGACGACTTTAGAGTCGCTGGGTCCGAATTCTAGGCAGGTGGGTCTCACAGAGAGCGCCTGCAGATTTCCCATACGCTTTACCGATGCTAACGCAAGTAGCAGAGCAGTTTTTAGCGTCAGGGGACGAAGGACAATGAACTGTAGCGGCTCAAAGGGAGTGCTCCTTAGAGCCCTCAACACAGTGGGAAGATCCCATATAGGGACGGTGACGGGGCGAGGCGGGTTGAGCTTCCTAGACCCCTTCAAAAAACGAACAACTAGTTTGTTCCTGCCCACCGATTGGCCAGCTATAGGAGCGTGAGAGGCTGCTATAGCTGCTACATAGACCTTGAGCGTGGAAGGGGAGCAACCCTTATCCAACAGCTCTTGCAGGAAGGACAATATCAGAGATATGTCGCAGGAAATTGGGTCTGCACCGCGGGCTGTAACCAGGTGGAGAAGACAGACCCATTTAAGGGCATAGAGGCATCTCATAGATGGTGCTCTAGCCTGAGAGATTGCATTTAGTACGCTCTCAGGGAGGTCTGCAGGCTCCCATCGAGAGGCCAAAGGTGTAGAGCCCACAACTCGGGCCGGGGATGCCATATCGTTCTGTTCACCTGAGAAAGGAGGTCCCATCACAGGGGGAAGGGCCACGGGGCTGCTGAGAGCAGCCGAGACAGCTCTGCAAACCAGTTTTGGTTCCTCCAGAGCGGGGCCACTAACAGAACCTTGTGTTTCTGTTCCCTGATTCACCTGATTACCTGTGGGATCAGGGCGACCGGGGGAAAGCGTAAAGGAGGAGGTTGGGCCAGTCGTTTGTCGAGACCACCTTCCTTCTGCAGACCATTTCCAGGGGCACGCCCCATTCCATCCACTGAGGGTCTTTCTAAGGGGCCAGAGCTGCTACGCAGGCCTGGTCGACCTTGATACGAAGGCGTCCGAGACGCCAGGCATGGGACGGAACTCGTGATTTCAGCCAGTACTAAAGGGGCCGCATGTGAAGCAGGCCCAACTGTAGTACCAGAGAAGAGGAGGCCATGAGGCCCAGCATCCTCTGGAACGCCTTGAGAGTGCGAGAGGCTCCAACTTGAATGAGAAAACGAGCTGCTGAATGGCCAGTGCACGTTCTGGCGTGACTACCGCCCTTATTTGGGTGGAGTCGAGAACTGTTCCTAGGAACGATATCCGTTTGCTGGGGAACAATTAAAAATTGACCCTGAGTCCCAGGCATTTTAAGTGGCTGAGGAGGAAGGATCTGTGAAATAGTAGCTCGTCCTCCGACTGGGCCAAGATGAGCCAGTCGTCGAGGTAATTCAGAATGCGGATTCCCATCTGTCTCAGCTTCGTAAAAGTGCAAGGAGCTAGGGACAGTCCAAAGGGAAGGACCGTGTATTGATATGCCACTCCCTCGAAGGCGAATCTCAAGAATCTTCTGTGGTGGGGGGCTATTTGGATGTGAATGTAGGTGTCTTTCAGATCCAGCGAAAAGAACCAGTCCCCTGGGCACACTTGTGAGAGGATCTGTTTCAATGTAATCATCCTGAACGGCCGTTTCATGAGGGCGCGGTTCAGGTGCCTGAGATCGAGGATGGGCCTTAGGTCGCCATCCTTTCTGGGGACGAGGAAGTAGCAGCTGTAGAAGCCTGACTCGCTCTGAGCTGGGGGAACCGTTTCTACGGCGCCAGCAAATTCATCACCTCCGAGTGCAGGACGTGTGCGTCTTTGCTCTAAACCGAGGTGGGAACCACGCCGCTGAATCGCGGGGGTCTTTGAGTGAATTGCAGTGAATAACCTCATTTAATCACTGAAGCTGTCAGTGATAATAATCATTAGTGACAGCATTCTCCTTTAATCCGCCTAAAAAGATCAAACCGCTCATTAGAAGAGGGGTACTGATGATCTTTATGTGTAAACACACTGGCAGATCAAAGTGCTGCACGCATGCTCGTAGCGGACGAGGGGAGGAGTGGGGCCACCTTCATTGAAGAAGGCGAGCCGCGAGCAAAGCAGAGCGAGACATAAACTCTCGTAGTGAGAGCGGTCTGTCTCAGCGAGCGGCAGCCTCAGCGTGGCCGTGGCCTAGGCGAGAGGCGCATTCAAATACGAAGCTGTCAGTGAATCATTGGTGACAGCGTTCTGCTCCGATCCGCCTAGAAGGATTGAGATGCTTGACAAATGAGAGGCCTCACATGTAAACACACTGGCGGATCAAAGAGTTGCATGGAGAGTGATGCACGCGGGGGCTTTGCCGGCGTTAAATCACTCAAGCCTGATCACTCATCCCCGCAAGTTCGCCATTTCTTCCTCCGATTAACTGGGAGGAGAGAAACACAAGAGAGGGGGAGGTGGGGCTCAGCGACGCACACACAAATGCGAAGTTGCCAGCAATAGAGGTGACAGCGTTCTGCTCCGATCTGCCTAGGAGGATTAAGCCGCTCGGTGTATCGAGGGGCGCTGATCCTCACGTCTAACACACACTGGCAGATCAAGTGAAGCACGCATGATGTGTGCCGGCATGAAATTGCTCAAGACTGATCGCTCAACCCTGCCAGTGACAGCATTCTGCTCCAATCTGCCTAGGTATTGCAGATACTGACATACAAGGACAAGTGCAGCTAGAAGGTTTGATGTTGGGTTAGCCCACAGTTTGTACCCACGTTATAGGACATAGCACACTGGTCAAGCACCGTATCCTGACTACCGATGAAGTAGTGCTGTGCAAAAAATCGAATGCGATTTTCGATTTTTCGATCATTCAATTTTTTGCACAGCCCTACGATGAAGTGTCTATAAGGAAAATACCGTACAAGGTATCTTTTGAGAAACAAATATTTATCGACAAACAGATTAAGGAGTTGTTGGACAAAGACATCATATGTCCCTCTACGTCTGCTTGGGCTTCACCAGTGGTGGTGGTGCCGAAAAAGGATGGTAGATCTCGTTTTTGTGTTGACTATCGTGGACTTAATGCTAAGACCCCTTTGGACTCATATCCAATGCCACAAATACAAGACATTCTAGAGTCCTTACATGGAGCAACCGTTTTTAGCACTCTCGATCTGAAGAGTGGATACTGGCAAATGGAAATGGATCCTGACAGCATGCAAAAGACAGCCTTTGTCACATCATCTGGGCTATATGAATTTCAGCATCTACCATTCGGCCTAAAAACGTCGCAGCTTCTTTCCAGCGGTTGATGGAGAGTGTGCTTAGAGAGTCGAAGGGCAAATATTGCATGATCTACATTAATGATATCGTGATATACTCCAAAAGTGAGCAAGAGCACTTCCAACACATGTCTCTAATGTTTCTAGGTCACATAGTTTCGGGGAAAAGCATAAAGACCGATCCATCTAAAGTCTCAGCTGTAAGTGCATTTCCCAAACGACAATATATGAAAGATGTACAACAATTTTTGGGATTAGCTGGGTGGTACCACAGAGTCATTCCCCATTTTTCAGAAAAAGCAGCACCACTACATGCACTAAAACTAAAGGCTGCACTAACATGGGCTTTTCAGCATCCCAAACCATCTTCACGGCTAATCAGGTGGACTATTCGCCTTCAAGGATTCCGTTTTACTGTCAAGTACAGGAAGGGCCAATGTAACGTAGTACCAGACATACTTTCCAGAACTCCAAATCCTGAAAATTCACCCAATCTCCCTGCTCTTACACAAATACCTATCTCTGCCAATATGCCAATTCATCTGACACAAATTGCCATTGCCCAAAATGATGATCCAGACATTCAAGAGATAATTTCTAAAATCCACAAACAGACACAACCTCCTGATCCAACTAGAGTACATTATGTAATCGAAAATGGATTTCTGTTTAGAAGTACCCCAGATGGACAACAAGGTCAGAAACTGCAACTTGTCATACCTCCTGTCCACCATCAAGCCTTTCTTCAGTATGCTCATGACAACCCACTCAGCGGACATTTCGGTAAGCTCAAAACTCTCCTTTGTTTCTTGGAAACGGTATACTGGCCCACTATAAGGAAAGACGTATGGAAATATTGCAAAGAATGTCAAGTATGTCAACAATATAAACCTGTGCTTTCTAAACTCTCTGGCTGCTTACAATCTACACCCATAGTCGAACCTGGTTATATGTTAGGAGTTGACATAATGGGCCCATTTCCCAAAAGTAATAAACAAAATGAATATCTTTTGGTCATTGTGGATTACTGCTCCAAGTGAGTGGAGATGTTTCCTCTCAGGTCAGCAAAGACTCCTCAAATTGCACGAATATTGGTGGAAAAGATCTTTACTCGATGGGGAACACCAGCATATTTAGTGTCCGATCGTGGCACTCAGTTCACCTCTCAGTTGCTTGCACTATTCTGTAAACAGTGGATGGTGATTCAAAAATTAACAACTGCTTATCATCCCTAGACCAATCTCACTGAACGAGTAAATAGGAATCTGAAGACGATGATTGCCTCCTATGTAGGAGCCCACCACAGACTCTGGGACAAATGGATCCCTGAATTTAGATATGCCATCAACTCTGCCTACCATGAGAGCATTGGGTTCACCCCAGCTAAAGTGGCACTTGGAAGGAAACTCAAGAGTCCAGAGACCGCCAGATCCTAATCACCCTGCCTATTCCACACTTGACAAGCAGAAAGAACTCTTAAGTATCGTCAGGGATAATGTGGAACGAGCCCAAGCCAAGCAAAATAAATATTATGATCAACATCGTAAGCAAACTAATTTCCAGGAGGGAGATGTGGTTTGGGTACGGGCTCATCCCCAATCCAAAGCTGACGATGGCTTTACGGTAAAGCTATCAGCCAAGTGGAAAGGTCCAGCTAGGGTTAAGAAAAAATTAGGGCCTGTGAACTATGCTGTTGTTTTTCTATCTGACTCTGACAAATGTGAGACGTTGCATGTACAAAATCTTAAAATTTGCCATGGTTATGACAAATTTTCTCCTGAAGGGAGGGGTATGTAACTGAACTGATTCTGTTACATTCAGATATTATGTTCTGCCTCGCCATTAGGGGGTGCTAAGCTATTATTTAGACGATTTATTCAGGTAGATAGTATGAAGAAGTCAGCTTGTGTTTGGGAGAGGAAGCAATGGTTTCCTCACGCTCGCATTTCAGAAGCTGACGGTCCTAAGATCGAGGATTTGTTTCCCTGTGTCCATCTGTAAGTGTTCACTGTTCATTTTGTAATGTGTTATGTTTGTTGTAATGTAGTTAGCTTGTAACGGTGTATATAGATTGTTTGGAGGTGCATGCTAATAGTAGCACGGTATTTGTTTTTTGATAGATGGACCTTTTATGACTAATAGTCTTTTATAGTCATGAAACGGAGTCATGTGGAACTGTTTCCAGCATGGCCTTTGGAATTGTGAACGTCTTGTGTGTTAAGCATATGCTTTTACGCAGTGGACTCTCACGTGTGCTTCATGGAAGCTTTGTGGATATCACAGATTTGGATTATCATTATTTTTTTTCCTTTGACTGCTATCGACTCACCGGGAACTTTGTCACATAAACGGACATTATCAGCGATCATCAGTATCTTCGTCTACTTTCAGCTAAGTTTGTTCTACTTACAAACATATTTCATGTTCCAACTCAGCATGCCTTGCCTAAAGACATAAAAGTTCATTGGCATTCATTCCTTGGTTGTTGTTTTTTTTCCTTTTGCTTTGCCTATTTTCAAATTGTCTTTTCTTTTGTTTATTTTGAGCTTTGTAAATATTCATCTAAGGTAAACTGCATCCATATAAAGTATATTCATTTTTTCTGCATTTTTGTGCCTAAACATTTCTTGATTATCTTAACCTTTTTGAATATTAACCTTAAACCTGCTTATACCAAAGTGTTGATCATGTTAAGGAACTATTTTAGATTCCCCTTTTTTAATGTATAACTCACGCCTAAATTGGGTAGCGGTAATAAGCTCCGTTGACGAGCCATTGGTTAGTTTTTATTTCACTGCACGAACCAATGGCCGTGCTGTTACACTGTGTTACTGAAAAGGCTTCAGTCACCGGAGAAAAAGGAGTTTTCCCCATAGTGTCTTAGCAGACACAGCATGAGTGAAGTATCGTTAGGGAACTTATTATTGCCACTATACCTATGTAGTAAGAAAAAGTTTGTAGATTGGTTTTAAGGAAACTTGTTTAAAGAATATCTCACTGTTTTGACGTGGGTGAAGGAGAGGATGGTAGGATGATAAAGGAAAAGCTCTGTATCCGTTGAATCTTCTCCGTTATTGGATACCTCCACTGAAAGAATCACTGGGTAACCAGCAGTACTCACTACAGTATCACTGGTGCACAGATAAAAGATACAGAGTCATATATATATATATATTTCTTTTTTCCCCCGAGGAGGAACTGCCTACTGCCAGTAAATACTGTTTTGATGGCTTAACTTCATTCACATGTAAAAATGCCAGATTGGAGATTTATTGTAAATACTGTATTTTTACTGTTTTACTTACATATTTTTGGCAAAGTATAGATGTAAAATACTGGCCATTGTATTTATCACACATAACATAAATAATGACTTGTATCGGCCAACTATTTGTATTTTATCAGTATTGGCCATATGTGGCCATATGTCCATATTTATATATTGGTCTCTTGAATCTATAACAAACGTGAAATGTAATTGTAGACTAACCTCATAAAAGAGAGAGACACATTTAAATCCGATATACACACATGATCTTCCCCACACACTTTCTCCAGAACCACCTGAAAAACACAAACATATTCACTAATAAGGTAACACAGTGAACCATTATGGTAAGATGGGGGAAGATGCCCAACTTACATACACATTTAGATTTAAGTTTAGCATGTGAACTATGATGATGCATTATAGGAAATAAAAAGAAACATTTGGTAATTTATTTGTTATAGCACAAAATGTAAAATATTAACAGTGGGGTAAGATGCTTTGATAAGGCTTGTTTTGATAAGACAATACAATGTCATATATCACTATTTTCCACAGACAAAAAATTAGACCAATTAACATCAAAACTGTTTTGACTGACTAAATTCACAAATGTTGATTTTCAGATAAAATGACAAAATTAAAAATGGTGTAGTCATTCATCAAAAGTGCTGAGATGAGATTTTGAGACATCTATGGTCAAGAGAAAAAATGAAGGTGGGGGGAGGGGGGGCGTTATACCCCACACACCATTTCTGTAAATGCAGGCCAGCAGTCAGGGCTCAGCACTGGCCTTAAGCCTCCTGTTCCTGGAATAACTTCTGTTGTTACTTTCATCCTCCCAGAGAGAGGGACTTCATGGTAGTCTGAAATACACTCCTGTTGTGAACACACAACATATACACAAAAAGAAAATATTGTTTTCCCACAATACATAACACACTGTTCTGTATTTTACATTAAAAAGCCCTTATATGACGTTTTTTTATGCAAGATTTTATGACATACAATCATATTTTGTGTCTTTTTCACACTGACCGGGATGCTGATGTACAGAGTAGTGCAGACAGGGGATATGCTACTCAGGTTGCCGTTGAGGGTCCAGAGAAATGAGGCTGATCTCGGACCAAATAACAGTCGAGGAGCTCTGGCCCAAGGGTCCAGCTTTAGCTCCAGATCCACTGACACCACAGAACCAAAAGGACCTGAATCAATTATATGTATATATATACTGTCAAAATTTTTTTTATAGGTATACAGTACATACAGAACAGTGTGTTATGCATTGTGGGAAAACAAAGATTCTTCATGAAGTTCAATATTTTCTCTCTTTCTCTGAATAACTTACCTTGTATATCACCCTTGACAATCTCTTTTACAGTCATACAGATTGTAACTGTGGCAACAGGGGTGTTGAGACCGAGGGGGGCGGAGCAATGAAAGAATTTCTGATGGATGATTGGTGGATCAACAGTGACATTTATAGGCAAACACATGACAGGCTGAGACCTGTTAAAATGTGATAGAAAATAAATTAGACTTTTGTGCTACCCTTTTCCACATTTGTGACGTTTTCTTTGGAATGTTATGGTTAATAATTTTTCATTAAAACTGAAAAATATAAAAGTATTATTAACATTCTAACTAAAAGTCTTTTTCCCTGATTTAATTCAGCAGCTCACCCATCTACCATGCTAGGCTGACATAGGGTATGGTAAGTAAACATTTATTTATGTTTTTTTTCCGTTTTCTGTTTCTCAAAGGATATACTCTTTTGCAAGCTGGTTGTGATGGAGTCTCCGTGTCACCCTTTCCATCATCTGTTTCTCCGACCTCTCCTCTTGAGTATGACACATCAACTTCTCCCTGTCCTGCTCCTTGCTCATCTACCTCCTCTGGATCCGCATCATTCAGAATCACTGTGTCCCCCGGATGATATTCTGACTGTAGATGCCTACTGTCGTTTCGACTCTTTCTGTCGACTAGCACTCTAAAAAGGCTTCTCCAATCATCTTCACCATCTGAACTGTCACAATGTGTTAGTTTTTGCTGTGTTGATGTTTTTTCCAACCTTGCCTTTTTTCTTGTTCTCCTTTCCAGGTCTTCCAGGTAGGTGTTTTTTTCTACAAGTAAGTAGTCACACGGTAGCAACAAGTTTCTGTGCAGTATTCTTGTTTTTCCTTTCCAATTTTCAGGTCGAACTTCATATACTGGACTATCCTGGTACTTCCTCTGAGTGACGAGGTAAACTTGCTCTTAACAGAATGGTCTGAGCTTTCCGGGTCTGCCTTTCTCCTTAAAGTTACAGACTAGTACTCTATTACCAGGGAACAATTCAGCTCTCTGCACTTTCTTGTCATACAAAGATTTTCCTCTTTCCTTCTCTCTGTGTGACACTCTAGAGGCTAATTCATAATATTCCATCATTCTCTTCCTCCAGCCCTCAGCATAGTCATGGTAAGAGGAGCTTTGGTCCTTCACTGGAAATACCAAACTTAATATCAAAGGGCAATCTGGGCGTAAGGCCGAACAGGAGATAATAGGGTACAAAGCCCATCGCCTCATTTCTTTTACAGTTGTACACATTCACAACATTTGCCAGTGATGACTTCCAATTGGCTTTGGTGGTCTCAGGTAAGGTCCTCAGCATTGCGAGCACAGTTCAGTTAAACCTCTCAACTTGCCCATTCCCCTGCGGGTGATACGGTGGTGTATGGGAACCTTGCACACCACTGTACTCCTGTAACTTTGCAAACAGATTGTCGAATTCCTTGCCTTGATCATGGTGCAGTTTTATTGGGAACCCAAACTTCAAAACAAAGTCTCTGAACACTTTCTCCGCAGCTGTCTTAGCACTCTTGTTTCTGCGAGAATATGCATGTGTGAACCATGTAAAGTGGTCCATCACAACTAAAATGTATTCAGCACACCACTGTACTTTTGCAACTTTGCAAACAGCTTGTTGTCGAATTCCTTGCCTTGATCGTGGTGCAGCTTCTTTGGGAACCCAAACTTCAAAACAAAGTCTCCGAACACTTTCTCTGCAGCTGTCTTGGCGCTCTTGTTTCTACACGCATATGCTTGAGCGAACCGTGTAAAGTGGTCCATCACAACTAAAATGTATTCATAACCTCCTTTACACTTCTCTAGATGTAAAAAAATATAAGTGATGGTGATTCTGGTCAGAGGAGCTCAGGTCACCTTGTTTGGACACTTGCTTCTCAGGCAACTGCAAATACTGTGACGTAGTGTTCCACTTCTCTTTACATGTGGGGCCAATAAAATCGATCCCTGATCAAGTTCAGCACTCGTTCTGCCCCTAGGTGGCCCATGTCTTGATGTAACTCCTTATAAACAAGCTTGTGATATTTTTTTTGGCAGAACCAGCTGATGACTGGTTGCTGTTTTTTGGAACAAGAGACCATGCTCATCCAAGTATAATCTGGCTTTTTCCCTCATCAGTCCACGAGCCTCTTTGCCCTGGCTCCTGTTTTTGGGCCGTGATTTTGATTTGAGACACATCAAGACCTCTTTTGACTTCTTTGAGCAGCTCCTACTCCTGTTCTCCCGACAGTGCTGATTTAATGGTAAGTGGACACAAACATGGGCCTCTCTCCTGATTTTGTACCATCACTGACTGAGTTATACTAACCATGACATCAGGGTGAACTTCTTCCGAGCAGGTTTCCATGTACTGTTCCATTGACAACAACATGGTAGATGGGCGTGAGAGGCCGTCAGCATCCCCATTGGACTTTCCTGGATGCTATTTGATGGTGAATCGAAAATAGGCAAGTTCGGCTACCCATCTGTACGTAGTGGCATTTAGCTTAGCTGATGACATCACATATGTGAGAGGGTTATTATTATCTGTGTACACAGTAAATGATGGTGCATGGTAAACATAATCTCTAAACCACCCATGTATGGGCCCACTTCATGGTCAAAAACTCCAACTTTCCAGAGTATTATTTTTTTGGGAGGTTCTTCGGAGGCTCTTGATCCATATGTAATCACCACTAACTTGCCTCCTTGCCTTTGATACCGCACTGCGCTGAGGCTTTCCTGTGATGCGTCACAGTGGAGTACAAAGGGTTAATTCAGAACTGGATACCCCAGCATGGGTGGATTGGATAGGCAGTCAATAAACTCATAGAGGTCCTTTTGATGCTCATCTGTCCACGTGACTGGATGTGAAGATGCAAGCCATCCCTGGTGACTTTTCCCCTTGCCCTTCCGCTTTGGCAGTACTCTTTATATGCGTCTCACTGAATTGATAACACCAAAAAAAAAGGTGCGGCCTTGTGGGAAACGTTCTCAATGTATGGCTGGTAGTAAGAGAGAAATCCTAATAACTTTCTCACCTCACCAACTGTCTTAGGGGTCCTCTCCTTCAGTACTTGGACTTGAGCAATGTCAGCCGGGTCCATCGTGAACCCTTCTTTGGTCACCAGCCTCCCTGGGAATCGAACCTGAGTTCAGAACACTTCACATTTTCATGGCGTTAGCTTAACACCATGTTTCTGATAAGACTGCAACACCTTTCTAAGGTCCTGAAGATGATTATTGAATGTTTTTGAACTAGGTTATCATCTAAATAAGGTTGACATACCTCATCACGCAGCTCTCTCAGCACTCCTCCATGCTGCTTTGAAATTTGGCAGGTGCATTTGACAATCAAAAAGGGACTCTCAGCCATTCATATAATCCCCACAGTGTTATGAACGCAGTGAGAGGTCGGCTGGATTCCTCTGCAAACACCTGGTGATAGGCTTTGCCTTGATCGAGGACTGAAAACCAGGTGCTGCCCACCAAGCTGTCAAGCATGTTCTGTATACGACGTATGGGGTGTCTATCGAGAATGCATTTCTTATTTAACTCCCGGGTAGTCGCAGCAGAGGTGGAGAGTTCCATCTTTCTTATGCACACCTTATGCACACCTTATGCAGACTACCATTGAAGAGTATGGTGACTTTGATCTTGTAATCCATCCCTTATTCAACAGATCCCCTAGGTATTCTTTAACCTCTTTGTGCAGTGGCTTCGGGACAGACATGTATGTGTGCTTCATGGGTGTGGTATAATGGAGGAGAATTTTTAGCTGGAGAGATGGAATACATCCCACATCGCTGTCATCGCAGGCAAAAGCCCCACTCTCCTCCCTAAAAGCTGTTTTACTGTCTGTTACTGTTCAGGTGTTAGATGGTCAACATGAACAGGAGGGTCCCATAAGCCTTTCCCTTGGGTTGTTAGCGTCGCCGCAGCATTTTATGTAGATTAAATAACTTGTTTACTGTCTTTAAGAAGCAGGCTTTGAGTGGTGTGTGCAGTAGTCTTGCATGCACTCTCTCACTGGGCTGTTACTGGTCTCAACTCAGCTGGGTAGATGGCCTTTACTCGCTGTATATGGCCCAGAACTGCACATGGAGGCAGGTCAATGTCATGGACAGTATCGTTAATCACAGGAATGCAGATGCGTGAACAGGTCCCTCTCTGGAGGCGAACAATGTTTTCCTCCACCCTCAATCAGTCTGGCCACTGTGCGCACTCATCCGGCACAAACCGGGCATCTTCGTCAGATAATAAAGGGCCAGTTTTGATGCAACCTTTACCAGTTCTAACCTTTTTAACTGGAATTTTTTTATTTCTGACTTTCCTTACTCCATCACTGCACCCATCATCCTGACTTCTCACTAAGTTCAGTAAAACCTATGCTTTCTTACAGTCGCAGGACAGGGAAGTACTCATGGCTTTGGTTGTTACACCGGCAGGCTGCTCGACACCATTGTTCAGAAGATACTCAATGACATTTTACCCAATAATGGGCTCCTCTGCCACCCCATCATCACCAGATACTAATACAGGTACCTCCAATTCCAGCGGTGTGGCTTTGTCTGTTTCCAGCTTAAAAGTCACTTTGACCCAGCTTTCAAACCGGATGACTGTTTGATTTACTGCTCGACTGGTGAGATTTACAGGACCTAGGATCTCTTCAAGGTTGGTACACAGTGGTGTGTGGGAAATGTTCTTTTCTCCATTTTTCATTCATTAGACAGACTTGGGAGCCAGTATCCCATAGTGCTTGCGTTGCCACACCATCGAAGAAACAGTTCACCATACATTTCTCTCCAATCAAATTCAGCAACTGTGCATTATGTTTGGTGGATAACTGATTAGCACTTACTGATCTGATCAGCTGTAGGTAGCTTTCCTTCTGCTTCGCTGTTTCTCAGGCTTCCAACTGCTTAATGCTGTCCTACAAGAGTACATTTTGATGTTTCGGCCACTGTGATGATGTTGTGTGAGCTGTTATCGTCATACTGTTAGCTGAGTTCCCTCTTTCTGTTCTTCCTGCAGGTGGTCCCCTACACCCTCTGGATAGATGCCCACTTTGCACACATTTAAAACAGTGGTCACACTGGTCACCTCTACCATGCTCCTGACACCCACGGCATCCCCGTTTCCTTTCTCGGTGCTGTGTGGAACGGTAAATAATCATCACTTTCCTCATTTCTCCAGTCTCCTCTTTCAGCTGCTTGATGGTCTCATAGAGCTCAGAGTCTTTCTTGTCCATGACCTGTGGTATTTTCAAAGCTTTAACTTGTGTGTGTGTGTGTGTGTGTGTGTGGACTGTTCTTTACCTGTGATAACCTGAACCATTCTCTCTTGACCTTGATGTAGTTCTGCCTGGATCTCAGTGACTTTAGTCTCTTTGACGTGGGCATTTTTCTTGAACTTTTGCTGTCGTTACCACTCAAGGCTTGCAGCTTTGTTCATCTTTGTGAGGAGAACTTCATCCGTGACTGTAGGATCATCAAGGCAGACTTTAAGTTGGTATTTAATGTGATCGTTTGACAGCACACGTAGGAATCTCCTCTGTATGAGATCAGGACTGTATGATTCTTCTCCATCCGGCTCTCAAGCAGCTGCTTGAGAACAAGCAAGAAAGATTAATTACAAGAAAGAACAGTCTTTCTTTTAATTAAATAGCTCGGAAGAGGAATTTTTGTGGTGAATCACGACTCTCTTGAGTTATGTTTATCAGTCTATGATACAGGTTGGTTGAACTTTCTTCCTTGAGCTCCTGTCTGTGTCGCCGCCACCATCTTGTACCGTGCGGTCACTGTGTTGCGTTATCTCACTGGCAAACTCTAACAGATCTTTCACATGTTGACTGGCCACGTCATCATCTGTTTCTTTAATATTCTCTACTGTTTCACTTATTAATCTGATCGGCGAGTGTCGTTTACTCTGTCCCTCTGACAACAGTTTTGCATACACACACACCTTGTGCAGTTGATTAAGCTGCAGCCGGAGCAATGCCTCGCTCAGTCGATCTTGCAGTTGCTCCATGTCCATGCTCAGGTTCATCACAACTCAGACTCAAAACGGCACTGCTGATACCATCCTCATTGCCAGTATTTTGTAGCACACTTGAAGGCAATAAGCTTGTGATTTAGTTAGGTTCTTTTGTTTATTCAGCCAACATTTTCTCGATCATATACAGATCCCGCCACAGCTCCGTTCAACACAACACAGTACTCATAGGCTGCGTTCCAGTTTACTTTTAGACATACACTCGCGAACTTCCCTAAGCACTTCCCCTCGGGAGAATCCCCGCCACCAATTTGAAGTGCATTCCACTTCGTCAAGCAGACGAGGGAAGTTTACATGGACATACCCTCGACACCTCGATTTTGACCGGGGGAGCGAGTCTGCTTCATATGCACACTTCAGGCCGCTCTATAGACCACAATGCAACATGACTATGACGTAATCGCAGATCGTGTTTAAATTATCCCCACCACAAACAACTCTATGATATATACATTTATAACAGTCCAAGCATACCTATATACATATAGAATGCTGCACCAAACAAATTCGTAAGGGGAAAAATGTAAACATTAAACCAACTCCACAGCGGATTCTAACTGATCAAGGGCTTAGGACATTCTAATTCAGCCCATTCTAAGGGTTCAGCAAGTAGTGGGCACTCATGCAACGTAATCAATGAAGTACATCTGAGTAAATGAGACGGAGGGAAGTTAGCAAGTGAAGGGCACAAAAAATGGACTGGAACGCAGCCATAGTTTCCTAAAAAAACTTCGCTTGAACTACTACTAATATTTCTCTTTTCTCTTTCAGGTCTACTCTAGGGGTTCTCCATCTGGCTACTGCCACACACTGGACACCCATCGCCTAGCTGTGAGTATGCAAAAAAATATGTATATGCACTGAATAATTGAACATAAACAATTATCGAACTGACATTACAAAGAAAAAAATATATATTCGCAGGGGCCTAGCTTTTTATACAAAAATGATCTATCAAGCCTTTAATATAAAATTAATATAACAATATATTCTAGAATTTGAACAGTATTATTTATAAAATTATAGTGGATTTGGGCATCCGCCATGACACTTGTTATGAGAAATGCTGCAAGCGGAGTGATACAAATGGTGAAGCGGTTCCCATGGCGATTTTGGATGAATATCTCATGGGTGGAAAGATCAGATATGAGGACCAGAAAGAACTGATTTTTTTGAGTGGAAAAGCGCAGCCTGGTTCCCAATTGGGCTCTGGCTCCGGCACTAGCCCCGGTGGAAAAGTGGTATGGGTAACTGTGAGGCGGGACAAAACACTGCCCTTCCGTTCCGATCAAAACATTAAATTGGTTCTCCCCACTCAGTGACACACCCACTGAAAAACCTAATGAAAGTGCCCTAGTTACTGGTGATTCTATTGAACGTGAAAATAGAGACACCAGCCACCATAATCCAATGTTTACCAGGAGCCAGAGCACCTGACATCTTGGCAAATTTAAAAGTGCTGGCTAATGCTAAACATAAATTCAGTAAGATAGTTATTCATGTCTGCACTAATGATGTTCACCTTCGCCAGTTGGAGATCACTAAAAAAAAAAGATTGAAGAGGTGTGTGAACTTGCAAGTATGATGTCAGACCCTGTAATATGCTCTGGTCCCCTCCCTGCTTACTGTGGTGACAAGATACATAGCAGACTGTCATCACTCAATGGCTGGATGTCTAAGTGGTTCCCATAGAATAACATAAGTTTCATAGACAATTGGATGAGTATGTGGGGCAGACCTGACCTGTTGACAAGAGATGGTCTTCATACCTCTAGGGGTGGTGCTGTTCTTCTCTCTAGAAATATGGCACATAGTCTCAGAGTTTTTATGTCACTGACTAGGGCCCAGGTCAGGAAGCAGACAGACTGGCTAAACTGACCGTCTGCTAGCCGCCTGATGTCACAGAAGTCGGTTAGTTCTCAGCACATAGAGACTCCTACACCTAGATATCATACTATAGAGACTGTGTCTGTTCCCCGAACTAGCAAATACAAAAAAAAAACTCCAAACCAATTTAAGATAATTTATCATTTATCTATGATCACAGATCAAAACCTAGATGTGCTCTGTTTGACGGAAACCTAGCTAAAACCAGATGATTACATTACTTTAAATGAGTCTAACCCCCAAGATTACTGTTATAAACATGAGCCGCATCCAAAAGGTAAAGGGGAGGTGTTGCTACAATTTATAGTCATATTTTCAGTATTTCTCAGAGGTCTGATTTAAAGTATATTTTGTTTGAAGTAATGGTGCTTTATGTAACATTATCTAGTGTAATAAGTGTTAATGATTGTGGCAAGGGGGGTGTGGTGAAGCGAAGTCTACGGCAAGAGAGCGAGTCGGAAGACTGGCGGTGAGTAAGTGCGCCAAGGGCAAATTGACAAACACCTGTGTCTTATTGCAGTAATTGGCATGAAGAGACTGGATAAAGCCACAAATAATGAGAGAGAGAGAGAGATGCTGGACGGAGGACTCGTGGTCGAGAGACTGAGAAATGCTGCTGTTGAATAAATACCACAAGCCTCCGCACACACACACACACACATCTAAACATTACCACACTGGTGCCGAAACCCGAGAGGAAGAAGGATCACCGCCGCCGTTATGCAGTCCTCACCAGGATTGCCATTTGGGGAAGTCATCAATTCGCTCGCGGGACTTCACCAAGAACATCATCAAACGCTCAAGGACACGAGGGAGGATCAGGAGTGATGCTTCCAATCCCTCGTCCGGACTGCGAGCTGTTCTGGAGCTGGATGGACCGGGAGGTATGTGCTGGAGGGTCTGCATCAAGCCCTGCCACTCCCCCATACCTGCCGCTAGCCAAGATGGAGCCACTTGATGATCCAGAGGCAAAGAAAGCAGAGGCATCCGGGTGGCCCCAATCAACCTGGACGGTGTGGCTGATTCCACTGCTGATAGGGGATGTGCAGGTAGCGGCCCAGCAACTGCCAGTACAATCAGAATCTCCTGGTCTATGATGACCTCAAACGAGCCATCCTTCAGCGGGTCCGCTTCAGCCCAGAGCAAAATCACTAGCGGTTCCTGTCGCTGAATCTGGGTGAAAATGGATGACCGTTTGTGATGGCTCAGCAGCTCTGGGACGCATGCCACTAATGGCTGCTGGCCGGGGAAAGCGACTTCGACCAGATCATTGACCAGGTGGTACTGGAGCAATTCATCCAATACAGCCGAGTGGGTCCAGTGCCACCGTCCGTCGTCGATGAACCTGGCCATCCAACTGGCTGAGGACCAGATAGCGGCGTGCCCCGGGGTCGGTGGAACATTACCATCCATCTCTCTCTCACACCCTTCCCCTTTGCTTTCTTCCCCTCCTGTTTCTACCTCTACCTCTCGACCTGTACCTGTCCCTAAGTCCCGGTGGAGCGGCCCTCCTTGACTGACAACCAGATGGTCAGGCGGAGGAGCCATCTTCTGGCCCCAGAGCTCCGCCCAGGGGGCTGGGTGAGACAAATAAGCAACCGGCATCATCTCCGGCTCTGCCATTCTCTCCTCGCCAATTCTTTTCCCCTGGAACAGTCTCAAGATTAGATGCTTAAAAATGCCTTTGAACAGGTCTGTTCCATCGACGGTCAGCTTCTCCAACTGACTCATCTGTCCTCCTATCCTTATTTTGCTATTATAAAAGATAGGTTGTTTCAAGTGACCCAAGACTCTCAAACAAAAGAGGAAACAACCCAGTTGTTAGTACCAAAAAGTAATCCTCTGATAGGGCATTTAGGACAAGCAGCAATGCTGAATCGTCTCATGACCCGATTTTTTTGGCCGGGCATTCATGCGCAGCTTGTCGTGAATGTCAGTTACTGAACCCACCGGCCTCCCCAAAAGCACCTTTGCGCCCCCTTCCTCGTATGCAGGTCCCCTTTAAGAAAATTGGAATGGACCTCATCAGGCCATTAGAATGTTCCACACGAGGGCATCGCTTTGCATTAGTTCTGGTGGATTATGCAACACGATACTCTGAAGCAGTAGCACTCCGTAAAATTTCAGCAAAAAGTGTCGTGGACGCACTGTTTTGTTTAATCTCCCGAGTGGGAATTCCAAAGGAAATTTTCACTGACCAGGGCACGGCATTTATATCACGTACTTTATGTGAGCTATACGAGTTAATGGGCATTAAATCGATTCGCACCAGCGTCTATCAACCACAAACAGAGGGGTTGGTGGAACGATTTAATCGCACATTGAAAATAACGATTCATAAATTCGTACACTAAGACGCCAAAAATTGGGATAGGTGACTGGAACCCCTCTTGTTCGCTGTGCACGAGGTTCCGCAAGCCTCCACAGGCTTTGAGCTTCTCTATGGATGTCAGCCCCGCGGGGTGTTAGACGTACTGAGAGAAACTTGGGAGGAGGGACCTTCCGACACTCAAAATGAAATTCAGTATGTGATGGACCTGAGAACAAAACTCCACACTTTGGGGCGGCTCTCAATGGAGAATTAGTTACAAGCCCAGGAAAGACAAAGCTGGCTGTACAACAGGGGACAAAGCAACGTAAATTTACACCGGGAGATAAAGTACTTGTATTGCTCCCTATGTCTAGTTCCAAATTGCTTTCCAAGTGGCAAGGACCGTTTGAGGTCACACGGCAAGTTGGAGATCTCAATTATAAGGTAGTGCGAACGGACAGGTGCAAGGCACGTAATATATACCACCTTCATCTTTTAAAAAAATTGAATGAGGAGGAGTCAGGCGCTGGCGACGGCGGTGATCTCGGCCCAGAAGTGGAGGATGATCTCGGCCCAGAAGTGAACACCAAAACTCAATCTCTCACTCTGGCTCAGCGGGGAGATCACCTCTCACCCTCGCAACTCACTGACATAGCTCAGTTGCAAGCAGAATTTGCGAATGTGTTCTCGCCCCTGCCTGGTCAAACGAAACTCATTCAGCACCATATTGAGACAGAGCCAGGCGTGGTGGTGCACAGCTGGCCATCTAATTTGCCTGAACATAAGAAAAAAGTAGTTCAGACAGAATTAGAGGTGATGCTAGATATGGGAATAATAGAGGAATCCCACAGTGATTAGGTGAGCCCGATAGTTTTAGTTCCGAAAACGGACGGCTCGGTACGATTCTGTGTGGTTTATCGCAAGGTGAATGCAGTGTCGAAATTCAACACTTATACAATACCGTGGGTGGACGAGTTGCTTGATCGGCTTAGGACAGCTCGTTTTTATTCGACACTGGATTAAACTAAAGGATATTGGCAGATTCCCTTATCGCCTATGTCCAAAGAAAAAACAGTCTTCACAACGCCATTTGGATTACACCAATTTGTCACACTTCCATTCGAGTTGTTCGGGCACCGGCTACTTTTCAGCGCCTGATGGATAAAATCCTCCGGCCGCATTCTACATATGCCGCTGCCTATCTGGATGATATAATCATCTATATTAATGACTGCCAGTGGCATATGGAACACTTCTGGGGGCGCTGAGAAGGGCTGGTTTAACTGCCAATCCGAAGAAGTGTGCGGTTGGGCGTATGGAGGTTCGGTATCTGGATTTCCACTTAGGTCACAGGCAAGTGCGTCCACAAATTAATAAGACTGCAGCAATTGCAACGTGCCTGAGACCTAAGACCAAAAAGGAGGTGAGGCAGTTCCTGGGGCTGCCGGGATACTACAGAAGGTTTGTGCCTAATTATTCAGACCTCAACAGCCTGACTGACCTCACTAAAAAGGAAGCGCCAGATCCAGTCCAGTGCACAGAGCTGGGTAAAAACCCAAGTAAAGGCTGCTCTATGTGGCGGAACTCTATTGCATGCTCCTGACTTTTCTCTCACGTTCTTGTTACAGACAGATGCATCGGACAGGGAGTTCTCCCCGACCTGAGTCAGGCGGTGGGGGTATGTGGCGAGGGGGTGCAGCGAAGTCTACAGCGAGAGAGAAAGTCAGGAGACTGGCGGTGAGTAAGTGCGTCAAGGGCAAATTGACAAACACCTGTGTCTTATTGCAGTAATTGGCGTGGAGAGACCGGATAAAGCCGCCAGGAACGAGAGGGAGAGATGCTGCACGGAGGACTCATGGTCCAGTGACTGAGAAATGCTGTTGTGCTACGTGTTGTGAATATTCTGTGTTAGAGCTAGAAGCGCTGAGAGCGCGTGCTTTTTAATAAATACTGTTGAACTGTTAATTGTTGAACTGAATAAATACCACGAGCCTCCGTAACTGACACTGCCTTCTTCCTTTCCACACACACACATCTGAACATTACCACAATTATAAATCCCTATTGACATTTGTACTGGCTGCTGTATATAGGCCACCAGGGCACCATACAGACTTTATCAAAGAATTTGCTGAATTAGTGCTGGCTGCATATAAAATCTTAATTGTTGGTGATTTTAATATCCATGTAGATAATGAAAAAGATGCATTAGGATCAGCATTTATAGACATTCTAAACTCTATTGGGCTTAGACAACACGTGACAGGACCTACTCATTGTCGTAATCATACTTTAGATTTAATACTATCACACAAAATTGATGTTAATGTCATTGAAATTCTGCAACAGAGTCTTGTGTATACTCCATGTAGCTAAAGCTGCAAACTCAACTCCTTGTTACAAATATGGTAGAACCATCACTTCAACCACAAAAGACTGCTTTGTAAATAATTTTCCTGACTTGTCTCAGTTCCTCAGCATATCCGATAGCTCCGAAAAACTTGATGTTGTAACAGAAACTATGGACTCTCCCTTTTCTAGCACTTTAGATATGGTTGCTACTTTACGCTTAAAAAAGATTAAGGAAAACAGTCTGACACTGTGGTATAACAAGCACACTCATGCCCTAAAGAGAGCAGCCTGGAAACTGGAGCGCATCTGGTAGAAAACAAAACTAGAGGTGTTTCGTATTGCATGGAGGGAAAATACTTCCTCCTACAGAAAAGCCTTAAAAACTGTAAGATCTGTTTATTTTTCATCTATTTTAGAAGAAAACAAACAAAAACCCAGGTATTTATTCAGTACAGTGGCTAAATTAATGAAAAATAAAGCATCACTGACATTTCAGAATCAGAATCAGAAAGAGCTTTATTGCCAAGTATGTTTGCACATACAAGGAATTTGTTATAGTGTCACAAGCTTCCAGTACACGGAGACAACAACGTCCGTTTTGTTGAGCAGAGAGCCGAGATTCGCCAGATGGATGCTAGGCAGCGCCGTTCTGAATCCGTGCTTCCTGAGCTTCACGAGCACGCCGGCTCACTTCCCCCGTCTGTGCGTCCTGAAGCGCTTGATCAGTGCCACTGCTCCGCCAACTACAATGTTCAGCAAAACGTCCGAATAAACGAAATCCGGTAGACGATTGTGTGGTGTGTTCTGCCGAATGTTCAGCAGCTCATCCCTGGTAAAACTGATCGTGTTTGAGAAA